CTCTCTCTTTCTCTCTCTCTCTTTCTCTGGCTTTCCGCTGCAGCCAACAATCCTCATGTGCTGTCATATTTAGGATATTGCTGGTAATGACATGTCAATTAAATGCTAATTACAACATTCGAGGCGTGCAGGCTGCCTAATTTTCACGAGTAGTTGGTGAGGATTGCGTGGTCGAGATGATCACACCCAGGGCATTAAATCAGAGGTTTTGTGGAGGGGAGTGCTGAAAAAAAAACACAAATAAGCAACAAAGAAGCGGGCGAACAAGGCTGCTCCTTTGGATTTATCCGGTGCGTTTTTACGCACGGCTTAGGGAAAGAAGAAGAAGAAGAATGAAAAAAAGATAGCTCCAGGAGTTGGATCGTCGGAGGTAAAACAAAACAAAACAAAAAAAAGGTTCGATCCGGGTTGCTAAAGCTTAAACAGGTACGCCGCTAATTGCAATTAGATGGACAAGGCTGGAGGGGGGAAGGAGGAGGGGGGGGGGTCTCTTACCTGCGCCGTCTAACCGCGTCTGTCCTCCCGCGTTGTTGTGATAGGACGGCAGGTACGGGCTGTGGTGCGGATGGCTCACGTATGGGTAAGGTAGCGACCGGTTGTAGGTGTTGGTCCCGGGGTACGCGGTGCTGTCGTGCTGGTGGTGAGAGTGCGATCCGGAGTGGAGGCAGTGCAGCGGGTAGTGGCCGCCGGCCATCGACGGGGAGCTCTGCTGCGAGTGCGACTGCTGCCCAAACTCCATGAACGCGGACTTGGACGAGTCCTGAGCCTCCAGACCGTCAGCCATCGTTGTCATGGTCATCATCGAATTTTCTGCCTTGAGAGCACTCACCCCCCACCCCCACCCCCTCCTCTCTCAAGACCAAATCGCTTTTTCGCTCTCTCGCTGTGCTGTTGTCTCTTCCTCCCCCCTTTCTCCTATTAACACCCCAAATTTCCCGATGCCGTCTTTATCACCCCCCCCATCATCCGCCCTCCTCTCTTGTCCCGCGGTATTCTCACTCAAAGTGGCGGAAGGTAGACATAAGTTAAGGGAGAGATTTTAAGGTGGATTCTGTTAAAATTGAGCCCTCGCTTGCAGACTTGATGCAGACACTACAAGTAAAATGGTTTGTCTCCAAAGGGCAGCGCCTCCCGATTGGTCATCCAGCCCAACGTCATCAGTTCTCTGCGCTTTTACGGAGACTTGAGCTGGAGTTAACCCACGTTACCAGCTCCCACCACAAATGCGGGGGGAGAAAAACAATATGTGGTGGGGAAAGACGCCTAATTCCCATAGACAAGCGTAGAAAACAGCTCCGGTGGATGCGCAGAGGCGATTTCTCTTTCTTTCTTTCTTTCTTTCTTTCTTTCTTTCTTTCTTTCTTTCTTTCTTTCTTTCTTTCTTTCTTTCTTTCTCTTTGGCGTCGTAGCTGGAAATTACGCACGCCGCGTAACACTGAGCGTACTTTAATTAAGTCAGATGAGGTAGCAGAATGTATGTATCCATCTCAGTTAGGTCACCCCTAATCAAGGAACTAATTGGATACAAGAAAGTATCGCCTTATTTTAGGACTGCTGTAGGTGGAGAGAACCCCCCCCCCCCCCAAAAAAAAAAAAAAAAAAAAAAAAAAAAAAAAAAAAAAAACNCTGTGGGGGGAGAAACCCCCCCCCCCCAAAAAAAAAAACAAACAAACAAAAAAAAAAACTAATGGACACCTCAAGAGAATATTATAAATCAATGTCCTTTTATGGGAAACTGCATTTTCTAAATGCATTTATTTTCTAAAAGATTATATTTTAAAGAATTATTATTATTATTATCGTAATGGTATTATTATTATTATTATTATTATTATTATTATTATTATTATTATTATTATTATTATTATTATTATTATTATTATTATTATTATCAGTAGTGGTGGCAGTACTAATATTAATATTATAAAGCTAAAGCGTGTTACATTTTTCTCAAGCAGTCAATTAAAGACTAACAACTATATTATTATTATTATTATTATTATTATTATTATTATTATTATTATTATTATTATTATTATTATTGTTATTATTATTGCTTTTTGTTTCTTTTTTTGTACGCCAGTCAGTTTGCTTTGATGTTGTAAAATGAGCGGTCTCCTCTTCACACCCCTGCCTCCCCTGCGCTCCCCCCCCCCCCCAAAGACAAATATTTTTAATGAGGGGACCCGGCCCTNAAAGTTACATATATTATAGCAGGAGCTACTGACCATATGATTAAAGATCCCTCAAATGATTCAAAATGCAGCACGTGTGGCACATCAAAACAACAATATGCCCAAGGTACAATAGGTTATTTTTGCAAAAGGGAAGGCTGGATACCCAGATAAACTGACAGTGTCTTTTATCCCAGTTGGATCATGAGGCCCGATAGGGTCCTCAATATATGTAAATTATACACTTTGCGTCTCAGAGCTGTGGTGTTCGATTAAAAAAACAGACACACACACAAAAAATACTCATGAATACAGATGTTATTTCCCTCTCAAGTGCTGTAGTTTTCATTAAAAAAATCTTTTTTTTTTTACATTTACCACTTTCAGCCTTTTTTGCTGCGTTTATTATTTCCCCTCAAAGAAGAAGAAGAAGAAGAAGAAGAAGAAGAAGAAGAAGAAGAAGAAGAAGAAGAAGAAGAAGAAGAAGAAGGCGATGAAAAAATAATTACGCCAGCAATCAAGTTACAGCGAAAACCTATTTGATTAGCGGGCCACACTTTACTCAAATTGCAGCTATAAAATTAAGAACAATTCGCCTGTAATGATTATGGACTTGGATTTATTTTGGGGAGGGTGGAATAAAAGTGGATATAGCATAAATTATCCCCTAATTATACGCCAGTGTGGCCTCAATTATCCTCTTATCAAAAATGGTTGTCTAAATGCAGCGTTTAGTTTCAATTTTCTCCCTTTTTTTTCCTCCCTCCTCCTGAAACAAGAACTTGGTACCTTGCTATTATCGTCATTGTACGGATGTTATTTACTTTGTGGGATTTAAAAAGTGCGCAAGCCAGCCGGATAATCATTTTCGCCGAGCGCAGCTTACCCAGAAAGGAGCGAGCAGGCGACCAAGAGAGCAGAAGACACACAGACGGATTTGGTTTTTTGCTGTTTTTCTCTTCAAGCGTCTTTTACATTGATTTCCTTTTTTTTTAATCCAGCAACTCACTGGAGCTGCAGGTAAGACCTTCCTTTGGTTGCTTTACGCCCCTCCTTCTTAACCTATAACTACGCTGATAAATTATTTGATTGCGTTTGACAATTCGGGCTTTCACAGCCACACTGGCCTTGTAGAAGTCTGCACGCCTCGGTCACCCCTCAGTGATCTAACACAGTGGCCAATTCCCCCCCCACCCACCCAGTGCCCGTGTTCCACTTGGACACGCAGAGGAGAAACCAGATCCTCCAGCCTTTCTAATCGCCCATTGAGTGCTACTACAAAGACATACATGCTTTGCAGCGATGTTGCTCGCTTCCCTGTGGGTTTTTAAAAAACGAGGGGTTCGATGATTATACGGGACATCCTCGTCTTTTTTTCTTTCTTTTTTTCCTCTTTTCTTTTTCTTGCTTTCGTGCTCACCAGGCGGGATTATTACATTGCTGGGTAACTGTGCGAGATTTTAGTTTTTTTGTGCAACACCGACATTATGGTATAAGTGTAAGGACCATGATGTTTGCTTTAACATCAATGTCACATCCCAGCCGACCTGCTGCAGTCGGTGTGCAAGACGTTGCCTGTTGCACGACTGCTGTCAACCTCAAATCTTAATTTGCATGACGATCTATTAATAACAATAAATGGTCAACGTTTGTTTCTTAAAAATTATTATTATTATTATTATTATTATTATTATTATTATTATTATTATTATTATTATTATTGAAATCCTAATAAATGCACATAAAAGAAGAACATTTTAAAAATAAATACACAGTTGTTGCTTTTTAATTCAGAAAGTCAGGCTTTTATCCAGGTGCGGCTCCTGGATGTTTTCAAAGGGGCTGGTTGGGGGCAGGAGGTTGGGGGGGGGGGGGGCGGTTGTGTGTGTGAGAGGGGTTAACGA